CTGCTCTTAAGAGACATTAACTGCTAAGAGGAATCTAAGAGAGGTATTATGGACACTTTTGAGGTCAGCAGGTCACACATTTGGGTACTATAATGATGACAACTCACAGTAGAAGTGTGTGGTACTTTGTGAAACAAATCAGACCCTATTAGAGAGATATATTTCATCCAGAGTCTTCCTAGTTTTAATGAAGTTATGAGAAAAGATGCTGTGGAGAAAAATCCTTGGTGGAGCTGGAAGCACTTGATTGATTTATAAATAATGCACTCGCTGAGAGCCTCTGTTTTTTTGTGGTCTTTTTTTTTTTTTTTCATATCACTATACAGTACCTTTTCTAAAGGACAACTAATCATTGAACTCATAAGGAGACATTAAAGATCACATGAGCGAATGTTATATCTGCAAACACACCTTCATGCCCTTCGCATTACCCAAATGTGAATGTTCCGTGTCTCCTTAATTACTCCAAATATAATCACGCTGTAAACACCATATCACAATGAGGTTTTATTCACAATGTAACAGGTTATTAGACACTAATGACGGAGCTTAATTGTTCATGTTTTGGGGCATCTGCTTGGTCAAACCTGCATCATCCTTTCTGTTTAAAAATAGTTTTGGGGTCTCACTAGATCCATCTCCATTTTGAAAGCAACATGTTTGATTTGCCTGTCCTTCAGTGAAAGTCAAGTCAAGGCAGCAGATGTTGCCTTTGCAATAATTCATGATTATCTTCAATCATTTTCTTTAATGAGCTTTTTGTTCCCATGGTGATGGAGAGAACGAGTCTTGCTGTAATTCGACGGGGGAGACAGCTGTCTATAAAAACAAAGCATCATGAAAGATTCACGTGTGTTATTATAACACGGGAAGAAAGTCAACAGTATGTGTTTTGTGAGGGATCAGTGAGGCGGGAAGGATCTTGTAGAGTTGCATGGCTGCACTGCAGCACTGCTAGAAAAACACTTATCTTCAAAAAGTTTCAGAACTCTAGCCATTTAGAAGAGATCGAACAGAGGTAACTTTGATCAAATGTATGACATGTATGTAAGACATTATGCTTAAAATCAGCAGAGGCTAATAGCAACACTACTAGAACTGGCACTATATTACAAAATGGACAAAATGATATGTGATATGACCATTCTTATTAAAAAAAAAATTAGCTTGTCATACACTATAACCAATTTTCCTTCATCAAAATATTTTCTTCTTGTCTTTAGAGGGACCATACTTTGAAGCCATAGTTGGAGGTAAGTGCAACAGCTCACAGACTTTCACATACTGTATCTATCATGCCTTAATCTCAGCTACAAATGTAAAACTGTGCATCTTTTGACCCAAGTCAATATTTCTACCTAATTTGACCCTTTAAAAATGACTGTTGTCAAGGCTGCATTTCCCGAGAGCATTGTAAAGCCTAGGTAGATCATAGAGACCATTGGTGTCAATGGTTTCTGCAATCTACTTAAGCTTACGATGGGCATTTAGGTCTAGGCACAGCTGTTTTTGAGCCAATCACCTGACCTGTAACTGTCATGTGACTAATTACTCTGGAGGCAGAGAAAAATTATGTTATAGATGGCAAAACAGGAACACGGACAGGCCAAAACCTTTCCCTAACAGCTATTCTAAGCAGTGATATAAAGGCATCAGGCAGAGGAATATATCCATTTTCATTTCCAAATATCCAGTTCATTTGATACTTTCAAGAGCTTTCCGGAACAAAACTGGGCACTGGTAAAATATCTTCTATAAGATAACGACATATTAGCAATATGTTACTTGTAACAAATTTTACTTATTCAAAGTGCATGTCTGTCAGTGGTGAAAGATGCTTTTTGCCTCCAGAGTGTGTAGTTAGCACTTTGATGATGGTCAGACAGGCTTAAAAGATTTCTGTACAAATGAGAGGTAATTTGTGCACAAGATGTTTCCTGGCCTCAGAAGATCTCTGGCTGAGCAAAAAAAAAAAAAAAAGACCCAGTAAAGGTTGTACTTCCTTCGCCAGCTGAAAAGGCCAGCAAATCAGATATAAGAAGACTGTGACGGACTGTCAGGACAGCTTCTCACTTTAGCTCATTTACACATGAATAATCAGTGTGTGGGTTTGTTCTCGTGCACTGAAGTAACTGGAATCAGTAAACTTCAGCAGGGTTCGAATGACACATGCCCTCAAAACCTTTTTCAGGCAACTGGTCTGGCATATCAGGAGAAATTGTGTATTTCATTGAGCATATTAGTTTGCTAGTGTGATTTACTGTAGTTCTCTACAGACAGGTCACTCTGAAGATTAACTTTCAGTGGTTAAGTCTGTCTCTATTTTCATTGGCTAAATTTACACCTGAATCTAACATTCTGTTATCGCATCTCCCTGTCCTCTTGCTTTCATATAGATGTTAAACATGGTTTTCTGTTAAATTCCCACTTGAATATAGCTAAAGATAAGTTGGGTCGAGAATAAAACTACGACAACTAGTTATAGACCAAGGCATAGACTAATTAATCCGCAAATATTTGAATATTTTAACATAATTGGCTAACCGGTCAAATGCAGAGACTGATAAACAGAAGTGGCCTTTTTCTATCCCATTAGGTTTTATTCATATTTTGACTTTGTTTGAATTACTTTTATTTTTGTATATTTTCTATTTGTTAAAGAGGTCATATGACATTGCTAAAAAGAACATTATTTGGTGTATTTGGTGTAATGCAATGTGTTTATGCGGTTTAAGGTCCAAAAAACATTATTTTCCACATACTGTACATTATTGTTGCTCCTCTATGCCCCGCCTTTCTGAAACGCGTAAATTTTTACAAAGCTCATCGGTCTGAAAAGCGAGGTGTGCTCTGATTGGCCAGCTATCCAGTGCGTTGTGATTGGCTGAATTACTCAAGCGTGTGACGGAAATGTTATGCCCCTACCATACTGTGCTGCCGTGTCCGGCCGGAGTGACGAGACAAAAACATGAAAACCCATTATAAACGAGGCATTTGTTGCATCCAGTGGGGACATAATTACTGATTATAATGACTTATACTGTCTGTTTACGCGTTGCATTGCATCGCGCCGCGTAAACATAAAACTCTGCATTTGTGATCAGAGAAATGACAAACAACAAGTGCTACTCTACTGCCCAAAACTCGCGTTTGAATCATCCAACTTTTGTGGCATGTTGTTGACTAATACAAAACAATCTTCTTCTTTTTTTTATCTTTAATTTTATAATGGGAACATTTTTTGTGCTAACAAACCCAGCAAAATCCATTTTAAAACCCTTATCTGTATCAACCACTGACAAAAACCCATACAGCCAGTAATGCTCCATTGAACTCAAAACAGTGTAGTCTGTTTATTTCAGGACACTCAGTCTCACCTAATAGCTGCATCCCACAGGCTATCTTCTATTATAACCTCTCTTTCTCTGTGTCTGTGTGTTCTAGTTGTCATTGCTGTGGTGGTTCTTGTCCTGCTCCTCCTCCTGGCCGTCATTCTGCGATACATGTACAAGCACAAGGGCACATATCATACCAATGAAGCCAAGGGCACAGAGTTCGCAGAGACAGCAGACGCTGCTCTGCGTGGAGACCCTGCCCTGCAGGACGCCATGGACGAGAGCAAGAAAGAGTATTTCATATGAGACACAATAGCTGGCCCTTTATACACGTCATATAATAAACTCCTACAGGCTCACATGATGCCTCAATCCTGTTTGCTGGAGCAGTGAAGTAACCGACTGAGCTCCCCGCAAACAGAAACTAACAAGAACAGTATTCAGAAATTCCTCTATATTTTAATATCTGAGATCGTTTATATTTATTTGTTCCTGAAAAAGAGATAAAATTGAGTATACATGAAAGAATATGCTGCACTCCTTGTAAAGCTGAGTGTCTGAACAAACATCAACTCAGGAGAATGAGATGATATTCAGATGAAGGGAAGGAAAGTCTTTGATCTTATTAGACAGGATATGAATGTGATGAATGTGAGATATTTCAGGACATTTAAATGTAACATTTTAAAGAACACTGTAAAAAAAAACAAGAATGACAAGAATGTTGGTCTCATATCTATATTCTGTATACTGTATATGACATATATAAGAATCAGGGATCAGATTCTTCTTTCTGAAGAAGTTAAATTCGAAGAAGTTTGTTCATTTTCTTAAGAGCGTTTTATTTTTTAAAGATAAAATAGATTTTTGTAAGAATATCTATAATCTAATTGTTAGACTGAACTAATTAAATATTGCTTGTAATTAGAAGCAAAGTTAGTCAGTGGAGTAAATAAATGAGAAAAATATATTCTTCAGATGCCTTAACTTTTTTTAATTTCATATATGTTAACGCTTTAGCTACAAATAAAATGAATTATATTGCTTGTTCTAGTTGCCTTTTTTCAGTTTCCCAATTTTATCGAAGGAAGGAAGGAAAGGGTACACTCAAAAATAAAAAAGTGTCATTTACTCGCCTTTGTGTCTGTCAAAGCTTGTATGACTTTCTTATTTATCGCATATTTTCTAAGCTGCTCCTTACTATAAATTAAAAGTAAACAGTGACCATAGCTGTCAAACAAGATTTTCAGTGAATAATAGTTAAATTTAGGTCTGTTCCACACATAGTGTTGTCAAATGGCTCCGAAGACTTGGAATAAAGTGCGTGAGTCATATACTTTTATGAGGCTTTTATGGTGCTGTTTTTGCTAAAATCTTCTTTTGTGTTCCACAGAAGAAAAAAAAACACAGTCATTCAGGTTTGGAACAACGTGAGGGTGAGAAAATGGTGACAGAAGTTTCATTTTTGCATGAACCATTTCCTTTAAGCTTACAGCAACTGGCAGTAAAGAGAGCTCCTGCTGTGCTCAGTTTAGTGATTTATGGATCAAACAACCAGGCTTCGGGCCATTGATAGTTTCAGTTCCTCTTCATGGGGGAGTAATTAGTACAGGTGTTGCATTTTTCACTCCTGGGAAACCAGAATGTGCAAATAAAATACTGAAATATTATCTCATGCAAACAGCTCGTATGGCAGTGGGATGTTGAGTGCTATAAATATGATTTGAGTTGATGTGTACCATGATAAATCATTTTTCAACGAGATCTCTTCTGGAAGATTTTTACCAAAAAATGTACACAATATTCAAAAGCCAGTACAGATGCTGATGCAACAAAATGAAAATGCCAGACACTTTGGAGGTGAGCTACACTGCGAGAATCCGACACAAGTGAGAGATATTTTTCTTTTGATTAATTCTTTGCTTCAAGGATGGAGGCTGAAAATAAGCCCTGAGCACCAAATCTCATCTCACCTTCTCACCCCCCTCTTCCTACATCCAGCGCTCTTGATTAATGACACCTCACCACTAAAGGTTTCTGCTGGGTTTTTTTTTTTTTAACAACTGAAAGGACCGTTTTGTGG